AAAACAAAACAAAAAACAGACATGTCTCCGAGTCTGTGGGAGCAGTTGGACCCCAGAGCCTGACAGGAAACAGCATCTCCACCACATGTCCTGTTCCGAGGCTGGGGGTGGCCGCAGAGCAGCAACCTGGTTCTGGTACAGGCGGTGCCGTGGCTACTCCGAGCACAGTAATACGTGGCTGAGTCTGCAGGGTCCATGCTGCTCATCTTCAGGAACACCTGGTTTTTGGAGTTGTCCTTGGAGATGGCGAGTCGGCTCTTCAGGGACGGGTTGTAATACTTATCGTCCTCCCAATCAATTTGTGAGAGCCACTCCAAGGGCTTCCCGGGGGGCTGGCGGATCCAGCCCACTCCTATACCCGAAGTGCTCAGAGAGAATCCCGAGACAGTGCAGGTCAGCGAGAGGGTCTCCCCGGGCTTCACCAGCCCAGGACCTGACTCCTTCAGGACAACCTGGGCCAGGACCCCTGTGGAGAGAGCACAGGAGGATGTGAAGCTGGTGGGGGGAATGGAGTCTGCGTCTCCTTGCGGGTCCCTGCCCCGAGCACTCACAGGTTGGCACCGTCAGCAGCAGGAGAGTGGAACTGAGCACGTCCATGGTGGGGCCAGGACTCCCTGACCCAGGCCTGAGCTGGCTTTTCAACCCAGAGGGGGTGGGGCTGGTGATTTGCATCCTGACCGGGTCCTGACTGTGGGTGGACTCAGGCCTCAGACAGTGGGGAGTGAGTCAGTCATGGGCAATGCCCTTAGGTGGGGTCCCCCGTGTCCTCGCTACAGGACACAGAGGCTGGCCTCCAGCAGCAGAAATCATGACTGGGAGACCTTGAACTTGCACTGGGCTCTCAGACAGAGCAGGGAAACAGAAGATGGGCCTGGGTCAGCACTCCCGGATGTCCAGTGCCAGAGAGGCCCCGCCCCATCTGTCACGCAGCCTCAGCTCGAGTAGTATGTCGGGATCCTGAGAAGAGGAGGAGTGGCCTAGATTGGTTAAGAGCTCAGCACATGGGAGCTAGAGGAGCCTCACCCAATGGCTACGGTGAGGGGAAGGGTGTAGCTCAGGGGAGTCCTGCAGAGACCAGGCCTCATCCTGACCCGGAGTTGGAGGGAGGGCATTTCACAGCGTGCAGGAGAGTCACGTCGTCTAACCACAACTTACACGGACATGCCATTTGTCAGTTGTACCTGAACTAGAGTAGGAAAAGTAAACTTACAAGAATGAGTTTTGCTTCTCACTGTTCGTTTTAGGATTATTCATTATTTTTTAAATGCACATCATGACTCTGAAATAACTCAGTACAAATGTATTTCCTGTCTCTGAATCACTTTTTTTTTTCTTTTTGTAGATTTTTGCCATTTGTTACATGCCAGAGAGACACAGAGACAGAGAAAGTCAGAAATCACCCCTGGCAGGAGTGACCATACTGCAGTCTCTTTTCTATTGTCCTGTTGAGGTTTTGGCCATGCACACACATGTGCCCAGCCTGATATTCAAGCTGCCAGGTCCAGAACTCAAATTGTGGTCAGCTATGTGGGAACCCAGCACCGTAACCACCATGCCACTTTCTGGGCTCTGTGAGATATTTTATTGTTTTGTGTCTATTGTAAATGCACTACGTGCTTCAGTTCTGTTCATTATTGGAACATGAATTAAACATATATTTTTATAGGTTTATTTGTATAACTGAATTCATTTTTTATTTCCAGGAGGTTTTTCATGGATTCTTCTAGATTTTCTATGAATACAATCATGTGCT